CCTACCACCAGTATTCCCCACTAACCTAGTGTCCTGTAGCACCACATCTAAGCATTTCTTGAGCACCTCCTGAGAGGGAGACTCAGCCACCTCCCTGGGAAGCCTGTTCCAGAGCCTGACCACTCTTTCAGAGGGGAATTTTTTCTAATAGTTCTCAATATCTCATTTTCTATGCTTAGTTTACTGCTTGACTTCTCTAACAAAAACAGTATTGTGAAAAACAAAACTCTCCTTATGTGTCACATTATTTGATTCTGTGCTGCATTACCAGCCTCATTCATTATGGCTAGTGGTGCTCAATATTATTTAATTAAGTGAATTAGCAGACTAATGGAACTGCTTGAATTTATTGATCAAGGGAGAACAGCAAAACAGTAACAAGCTCTGAGCTTTTCATTTAAAATATGTTGGCAGTTTGTTTATGTTTTTCTCTTATCTATTCCAGATCATGCTGAACCAGCGTGTTTTGTCTGCCTTTTCCCCTTTTTATTGTGCTTTTAGGGGTACTTTTTAAGTCTTCATATTTTTCAAAAACACCTCAGACAGTGGGATCTTCATAAAGTGTTTGCTTACAGTTATTTAACTACAGTCAGGAAAAAAGAAATGAGAATGACTACAATAAATAAGAAGTGACTTGAGAACTTGGGCATTATGTGGATGTAGCGTTTCATATTCTTCCCTTCCCTGCAGTGGAAGCATTAAAAATGTTTTTAGCAGGAGAGGGGTAGTATAGTGACAGAGAAGAAAGGTAAGGCTCACATATGCTTCAGGTTTAGGGATTTGACTTCACTTGTATAACTCAATGCAGAATTTGACTTGCATGCCACATCACCTTCTGATAGCTTTCTGTTGTGGTACCATGCAACATTTAATTTAAAAAAAAAAGAAAAATTAAAAAAAGAAAATAATCTACTCTGGAGGTAGACAGTCAGTTTTTAAAATAAAAAATGACCAGAGTCTTCTCTTCTTTTTTTCTTTGGTGAGTGTGAACAATCATTACAGCAATAGAAGCCTGTGTGAGCAAGAAATGTTAAAAGTTAACAGGAGTGTTTGAGATTGGACTTGGATTCTTCTGTGGTTCATACTCATATTTTTCTCATCAGCCACCAGAAATGGATTCTTATTGAGACCAGTACGTGACACATGGAACACAGTTATTTGTAATTAGAGTTACAGTGTTTATCACGACACTCCACAGATAATATGGCAATCTGTAAAGTGCAATAAATGACAAAGAAAAAGCAGCCCCAAAGAATTATTTTAAGAAGAGTTGCATTTCTCTAAGTGAACATTCTCTTGCTTGCAAACGGAACCTGAATGCCCTTCTGTTCTTGTTATCTTGACTGTGCTGCTTTGTGACCTCCTAATGACTCATAGCTTTCCAACCCCTAGGGCTTCCCTTGAAACAGCAACACTTAATGACTAGCAAACTGTTGCTAGGGAACAGGCTCCACAGTGGCTATGATGCAGTTTACGTAACATCCCTGGTTTTCGTCTTAGCATGGGAATTGCTGTAAAAAGAACATCATCCTTTTCTTGCAAGTCAGAAGCAGGTTTTGAAGGGACTATAACTGGCCAACTTCAGGTGGAACTACTTCAGATTTTCTTTGAAATGACCAAGTCTGAAGGTTCCCGAATCTGTTTTACTAGAGCACCAGAAAACAAAATGGAATACCGGAGCTGTATTTTCAAGAAAAAGCCACAGCTGCTGGGTTATAGTCACACTACAATGAAAAGATCTGAAAAGAAATCATACTTAAATGAAAAGATTTGTAAGCAAATCAATTTCTTGTTTTTGGTTGTTATTGTATAGGGATTCCCCATCAGAATTATTTCTTCTTCCCCTCTCCAGAGCTTCCTGGTCTGCAGTAGACTCTTCAGACTCATCCTTATGTGTAGTGAAAGCATCTTTGTTATCATATCTCAGGTGTAGATGTGGGCCAGCTACCTTAGGAGTTCATGCTTAGAAGTTTCATAACTTTGCTTCAGCTGCAGGCAGCTTGTCTGCTTTTTTTCACTGTTTTCTGTCCTACCCAACATCCTAGAAGGGTCTCCATGAGCAACGCATGTTTGTTAGGTTTGAGAAAGAATAATCTCCCTTTCTTCCAGAGTGTCTGCTTGATTCGGTGTATTGGGGCAGATAAATATGTCACCTTTGGAGGTGACAGGGCAGGTAAATATGTAGCAGCCTTCCTCCTTGCTGCTCAGCCACCACATTTTTAAGAGTCGTGAATCATTGAAACGATAGATAATTGTGCCTATATGCCATACCTTAGCAAAAGAAGATAAAGTAACAGAAGTAGGTTGCCCTCTTAAATCTCTTTCCAATGGCCTGGGAAAAGGAGGATATCAACTTCTTTTTTTGTGGTGAATTAAGAGTTAACTATAAGATTTCTAAATCTGGGAAAGGCTGCCTTAGACAACAATGGTATCTGTTTTTTTCTGAGATGGAGAGAATATATGCAACAACCTGTCAGTTTCACAGACTAGGGGAAAATAGTGACGAAAGTGAATTTATCTGGACTCAGCAATAAGGCTTATTTTGAATGCATAGGGCTTGCTTTAAATGAGGTAAAGCTTTTCTGGGTTGGTTATTTATATACTTATATATAATTTATAGATACAAATGTATATTTATTTATCTATTACATATAAAAATGTATTTGTATATTATTTTTTAATATAAAATAACTATAAAACTTTGAGATAATTTCCTCATAGGTTAATGTGGGATGTGCACAATTGCTAGAAATACAGCTAAGGGGGAAAAAAATCAATATTATATCTATTATATCAGTGTAGTGGTTTGAAAAGTATTTTAAGAAGTATTTAAGTATTTTCCTTCCCTCCCTCCTTCCCTCCTTCCCTCCTTCCCTCCTTCCCTCCGTCCCTCCCTCCCTCCTTCCCTCCTTCCCTCCTTCCCTCCCTCCCTCCGTCCCTCCTTCCCTCCGTCCCTCCGTCCCTCCCTCCCTCCCTCCCTCCTTCCCTCCTTCCCTCCTTCCCTCCTTCCCTCCCTCCCTCCCTCCCTCCCTCCCTCCCTCCCTCCCTCCCTCCTTCCTTCCTTCCTTCCTTTCTTCCTTCCTTCCTTCCTTCCTTCCTTCCTTCCTTCCTTCCTTCCTTCCTTCCTTCCTTCCTTCCTTCCTTCCTTCCTTCCTTCCTTCCTTCCTTCCTTCCTTCCTTCCTTCCTTCCTTCCTTCCTTCCTTCCTTCCTTCCTTCCTTCCTTCCTTCCTCCCTTCCTCCCTTCCTCCCTTCCTCCCTTCCTCCCTTCCTCCCTTCCTCCCTTCCTCCCTTCCTCCCTTCCTCCCTTCCTCCCTTCCTCCCTTCCTCCCTTCCTCCCTTCCTCCCTTCCTCCCTTCCTCCCTTCCTCCCTTCCTCCCTCCCTCCCTCCCTCCCTCCCTCCCTCCCTCCCTCCCTCCCTCCCTCCCTCCCTCCCTCCCTCCCTCCCTCCCTCCCTCCCTCCCTCCCTCCTTCCCTCCTTCCCTCCTTCCCTCCTTCCCTCCTTCCCTCCTTCCCTCCTTCCCTCCTTCCCTCCTTCCCTCCCTCCCTCCCTCCCTCCCTCCCTCCCTCCCTCCCTCCCTCCCTCCTTCCCTCCTTCCTTCCTTCCTTCCTTCCTTCCTTCCTTCCTTCCTTCCTTCCTTCCTTCCTTCCTTCCTTCCTTCCTTCCTTCCTTCCTTCCTTCCTTCCTTCCTTCCTTCCTTCCTTCCTTCCTTCCTTCCTTCCTTCCTTCCTTCCTTCCTTCCTTCCTTCCTTCCTTCCTTCCTTCCTTCCTTCCTTCCTTCCTTCCTTCCTTCCTTCCTTCCTAAATATTTTGTTTGTCTGGCCTCCTGTTCAGGTGACGTCTTTAGGCTTTATGGTCCATTGTGACATTCTCAGGTTTATCGAGTAAAAACGTATTCTGAAGCATATCTCCTAGAGAAAAAAAGATTTATAAAATCTTATCAAATCAAACTTTTAAGTGATTTTGTTTCTCTTTGTTGTATTCTTCCCTATTTTTGCTACTATTTTGTGAGGTGAGGAAATCGAGTACAACATACCTCTGTAATTTCATATCAGTGGTGTAGTAAACATTCATATCAGATCCTTAAGGAGAGGTAGATGATTTCATTACAAATAAAAACAAGCAGCATGTTCGCTCTTGCTGTCACCATCTCTGCTCACAAGCACTAGACAGTGTGCTGTGTCTGTAAAGTTCATCCAACTGTCAGGCCAGATATTAGGTTCAGGATCTGTTATGATGATGAAGAGGTTGAGAGGCACCATCTGTCAGGTCCTTCACATGTCTTGTGTGCTATGACATCTCCCTTTCCCCTTTCTAAAGGAAATTGTTAATAATGCAAATGTTAGCCTTTGTATTGCAGTTTCCTACAGCTGAATAAGCATTGTTCATCTATTTGAAAAATACCAGTACCACTTTTAATAATGTGTAGGTGAAAGAAGTACTGTATTTAAAGTGAGATTTGAAACAAAGTAGAACTAATCTTGTGGCAGCTTTCCTACAGCATCTGAGCATTTTGCCCAAGGTCAGACTTCAGCCTAGCAGATTATGATAAATAAATTAAATTGATAAAGACTACCCTACTGATATGCTTGTTAGAATAATGATTTCACTACCTGTGTGAAGTTGCATGTGCTTTTGTTAGTTGGAGAAGAAAAAGAAAGAAAGAAAACCATGTGAATGCTTTCTATTAAGTACCATGACATAGGAAAATAACTGATCTTTAAAGATGAGGTCTGCTTTATCACTAATGTTTTATGTAAGCCTTGTCTATGAAATGAAGCAGTGGATTTAGTTTACTTAAATTAGGTAATATGTACTTTTTAAAATTGTAGAATTGATTTCAAAATTATAGGAATGTGTTCATGTCTAGAATATGGTATACTTGAAGAAGATGCAGCACTACATCCTTAGTATTTAGTAGATTAGAAAGCTTATGCAGGAAACAGACAAAAGCAAAACCACAAGTGGTGAGTGACAATATTTCTTTCTTTACCATCACAGTTTCAAAGAACTTTCGAAACATTAAGAAATGTATCCAGTAGATCTGATCTGCAAAATACCTACCAGAAGTTTCAAAAGGATCTGGAAAACCTAGATTATTTGGCATACAAACGTCAGCAGGTAAGCATGTGGAAGCCGGGTAGTAAGATGTGGAACACTGGGCATATACGTGGTAAGTGGGAGAAGAAGAGCATTTGACAGAGTTATTGTTCTATCAGTAAGGTTTTGTGCTTCATGTCATTTGATTGTGTGAATCAATAGGAAGGGTGGCAATTCTATATTATACGTATGGTGTTGGAAGTAATGGTACTTTATTTCTGAAAAGATGTGTTTATCATACAGAAAGGTAAACAAGCACATAAAAGTTAGAGATTATTAAGCGTTGTATTAACTTACCAAACTTTTTTTAATTAAAAAATTTGGTAAGGGTATAAAAGTACAGTTTTAACTTGAGATACGAAAATAAATCCACAAAATTTAATGGAATCAAATACTTGCTGTGCATACAAACCATCATTTTTTTTTTCCTCTTCAGTAACGAATTTATAAGGCTAGATTGTATAAAAGTTTAAAGTGTATGCAGTATTTTACTCACGTTTATGAGACAGAGGTTAAATTAAACTGTTAATATGTGTTTGTGTACATGATTAAATGTATTTACATGGTTAAGTGCATTTAATCTTGCACAAGCTTTCTGTAAGTTGGGCATGGCAGCTGCGAAAATTGTCACCTCTCGTGTTAGGTCTTCATGTTTGTGTTCTTGGGAGGAAAAAATAACTTGGCCTATCTCAGATCAGACTGATGAAGCACCCTCTAATTTCTATGTAAGTTGTTTCATATTTTTCTGAATTCTGTCACTTGGTGTCAGTGTTGTCAAACACTTCACTTGTTTGGCAACAGATCCTTTCCAGTTGTTTATATTTGATAGAAAATGAGGAAAGGACTCAGAGACAGATGGTGGTTGAACACGTGAATCTTTGGTTCTTGAATTGATGAGGTCAGGGAGCAATATCTTAAGTGAGTTTTTCTGATAGTAATATGGCAAATTTCTTTGTGCCCTTGGACATGGGGCTGCTGATAAATAAAAGACTGTTTCAACTAACAAGTAATGCTAGTTTTAGCCTGTAATGTGGGTTTATGCTACTTGCTCTTGTAATTATGTCAAACATAGTAAGTGTCACATCTGCAATGGTTTGGAGAGTAGTTCTGAGCCAGGGAAGTATAAATTCTGTAATTGCTTCTCAGGATATCACTAATATTAGGGGTAGCTTTCTCTCTGAATTTTCATTCCCAACAAAATCCCTTTTTATTTCACAAGACCTATATATCATTATCTAGCGGACTCTAAACATGCTTCAATAGCATATTTCATTTCATCTTCAGAAAGGCATATTTTCTCCTGTTTCCAGATCTTTACTACATTTTCTATCTTAATATTTTGTATTTGTAAGCCACTTAGAGAATTTCAACATCCTTTTTAAATCAGGCATTCATATATCTCCTCATACTATTTCTTCTGTCTTTCTGTTGTGTTTAAATGTGTTGACAGAAGGTTTTGCATTTGGAGGTACTGGTAATGTATTAGCCATAACATCATTTCCTGCTTTCAATCACAGGACAGAGGATAGGCTTTTTACTAGGGCATATTCTTATCCAATATCTTATTGTATCTCATACAATATCTTATACAAATCTTACAAAATCTTATACAATGCTATGAAGAAAACAAAGTAGGCAGAGATTGAAATTAGAAAGCAAGTGAGAAACTAGAGATGTTCTCTGTACCTCAGTTAATTTACATGGCGTACCCATTCAGAAGTTTCATGATCTGTGGATTTTTTGGGTAGTAACCTATCTAATTATGATACTGAGATTTTCATCTCAATAGAACTTGCTGGAAATTCTGCAGAAAATGATTTGGAAAGCTGCTTATGTTAGCTGTGTAGGAGACTTTGAATTGACTCCTGCTTTGGAAATAAATTGATTTCTTTGTGAAAAGGGTAAGATTTGGTTCAATTACTATGGAAAAAGTACAGATCTGGATTGGAACTGAAATTCTTCTGAGTTTATGACATTTAATACTGACTTTGCAGAGTTTGTACCTTTAAAGGATAACAACAAATGTGCTCTTTTATTGAACTATGGATATATTTTTAGCCCAAAATGTTGAGTCACTGCCATATATTTGGAGATGAACAACAACTGTGTACAATATGAACATGAATCCATTTGTGGTGAAATAAGCTTTATGTAGTTTGAGTAATGAATGTGTTATGTTGCACTTTATTTCTCTATCTAAAAAGAAGAACGGAAGCAGACAACTATATCATTCAAAAGTAGTGTAATTTTTCAATATTGAAATTTTCCAGTTAGATGGAATATCACAATTTTTTAAAAGGATATTTGAAATTACTCACATTGAAACAAATCTCTGAATATGGACCAAACTTTTATTAGTGGTATTAGTATACAAGAAACAAACATGGATCTAGGTGCTGTTGTTGAACTGTTGCTGTCTCTGATGAACTCCCACGTATTCATGCCTGTTCTCTTCTGAATTGCTCTACATCAGATCTTTTCTTCTTACTACTGGTTAGCACAAGACACAGCTCCAATTCTATAGGCTTGTCATACTTTTCCAAAAGAAATGTCTTATTAAAAATTTACATGGAAACATGCTCAACTCAGGCCAGATTAAAAGCAAATAAAACATTTCTGTTCAACAGTTGAACATAGGCAGACTCTTGCGAATGTTAAGCGATGCAGGGTAAGAAGGGACTTTGTGATTCATCTCAAAACTTTTTTTTTTTTTTCCATTAGGATTATAGCAAATTTATTTTTCTTGTATGGGATCTTGCTGCTGTGGAAGGAAAGTTAACAATGTATTGTTCAGCTAAGAGAGTATTGGTTTAAGCCTCTTCATTGAAATTATTTTACTGTAAGGTCACTTCATTCATTTTCTGACTAATGGTATTTCCTCTGAAGAAGGATTACTTCCAGTAAATTTCTATATTTGGGAAGCAATCAAGGACCATAAGTGATCCATCTTGAAGTAGGTCTTTTTTATACTGTCCTGCTTGCTTTCCATTCATACTTTGTTTTGTCCCACAGGTAGTCTGTGTAGATTGTTTAGAGAATTACTATTTTTACTTATCTTCCTTCCATTTTTAATTGAGTTGAAAATTTAATTTCTACACTCTGAGCTGACTTTTTTTTGTTAAACTGGATTACATCTGAAATAGTTTTACTAAGTTAATAATGTTATAAACTTGTACCAATAAAGCTATTCTAATTGCACAGGACCAATATCAGGAAGTTAAATGTTTTAAAACTAAATTGCTTACCTCTTTTTTTAGGGACTAGCTTTATTTGTGACCAGCACAAAATTCATGTGAATTGTAGTCAGAATTAATGTTATGAAGTCACACAAAATATTACTATTGCTGTCTATTTTACTTTGAGATACTGGATACATCTTAGTGTGCTTGTGGGTATGTGTGGATTTTCTTTGGTTGTCAATAAGAGCTATTTATGTGTGCATTTGGAAAGTCTAAAGATAATTGTAAATGCCAGCAGAGAAGCACTGACCTTAAAATCTGATGATCAGTGGGGGACACGCAGGCAATTTTAATCCTTATGTTAACAAAGGTTGTGCTTGATGCCTTTGTGCCCCAAAACCATGGAAGGCCAGTAACTGCGATCTTTAGACTCACTGTTGTGCATAGACCAGCTGGGAATGTTTTCTTTTCACTCCTGTTTTCTTGATTCTTTATCTCCACTTTTATAAATCAATAGGTTTATACAGTGTTGAGTATCTTTTTAGTGTTCTTCCCCATTTTGTTAAAACTTTGCATTCTACATAAGTAGTAAAATACATTCTGTTGGCTGAACAGTAGACCTTCTAGTTTTGAGTTAAATACTGTGTAACTTGTTTCAGCATCAGCTAAGGAAGGTCAAACATACTTATGTTCAAATGTCATCAGTCAATTGAATTAAGTAAGTATCCTGTGGTTGCAACACATCTCAAAAACTACTAATATATCTTAAAGTGGAGAGAGGTAACAGAGAAATAGTTTAAAGAATGTGTTTTGGGGATTGTGTTCATCTTTTATGGCTCTATAATGCTTTTTCCTGATAGTTTCTATGTGAAGATTTTACACTATGTAGTTGTTATATCAGAATTTCATGTTATAACTATTTGTAAAATTTCCATCGACAAAATATGTATGTTACTTATTGTTTATATTAAAAAAAAAAATAAAAACCAAATGTAATGTGTAGGTTGCTCTGAAAGTAATGCCCCCTATTTATTTCCATGGAAAGTACAATGGATACAAAGTGTATACAATAATGCTGTTTGATGGAGCTATTTCTCAGCTACAAAATTATATTTTTTTCAACAAAGTCACCACTATTAGCTTTGCATTTTTACTAGTAATGATCAAGAATTTGTATGCCATGTTTGCAATAATCTGCACCAGCTGAGGCTACTGTTACTGTCACCACTGGTGAAATGCACCATCCACGTCCTCACTGTACTCACATCTACTCTATACCATAAACATTCGGCAAGCACTAACAAATGTCAGTGTGAGCCATTTTTTCTGCATGAAGGAATTCAGTTCCACACCTTTGCTTCGTATTCACTTCCATGTCAGATGCCATTTTGTCAAACTACCCCACTGCTGCCATCTGTTGCTTGGCAACAAAATGTAACAGGATATTGGTGGGAATATTCAGTCTCTACTGCCATACCACTGACAACTGTCTCTGATGTCATGGGACAATATTATAAAATAGGAGGCATTCTTTTGGAGTAGCCCTTGCCCATGTATATACATATACATACACATACACATACACATACATATACATATACATATACATATTTATTGTTCATATTAGGATAGAGCTAATCTATCCTTGAGCAATCTTAAAAATTAAGGTAGTTAATAAGGTCAGTTATTTGAAAATGGAATTTTGTCTAGCTATCGCAATCTGTTCTGTATGTGAAACAACACCTATTTTTTCTATTTCTTTTAAACCTTCATTTATTAGCAAAAAGAAAGGATAAGAGAAAGTGCTTATAACAAGAGAAGAAATTTCAAAAAGCATTAAAT